CTTTAGCATAAAAGACAACAATCAAAAAAATCATTCCATAAAATAAGAATTCTTAGCAAGCATATTACCATACGATTAAGGTTTAATTATTTAATTTATTGTTATAAAGAAATGTTTAAAATAATAATAATTTTATTTTTGCTTAGAATGATGATATTAGAACTTACCCATGGTTTATTAGAAGAACTGAGATGCATCATCGTATTAAGCAATGTTTAGAGGAAGTTAATATTGCAGACATTAGCCATGACGAGCCAACAAGTTCCTCAATTATTGATACGGAAAATCTACCTGATTGACTCAAAAACGAATTTTCTTGTAGAAGATATTAGCAGCTGTAATTATAAAAAATTTTGAAAAATTTTTTATAAATTCTGAAGATAAAATAATAATGGAACATTAGTAAGTATTTAAAAATATTAGCAAATATTAAAAAATTTTTAACTAATTATATTTTATAATTATATTTTAGTCAGTGGATAAGAAGGCGAGAAGATTATTAAAATTATAATGATGAAATTAATGAGGGAACATGGCAGCTTGATGCTATATCGATCTCTCTCAAATATTCATCAAGATCTCTTAGAAACGCCTTGCCTATAATGTAAATTTAATACAAACAAATTTAAAATTATAGCGTATTAGTGAAAATTGGCCTTCCTTTAATGATTTGTTTAAATTTTTAACCTTTTATGTAGGCCCGAAAAGCATTGAGGAATGAAAAATTCCTAAGAATTTTAGTTCAGAAAATTCAAATTCCGAAAAAGAAAAAAAAAAAAAAGAGAAATAGAATATGAAAATTTTATTTCAAGGTAATTTATTTTAATAAGTTAACATCAGACTTGCAATATTAAATATTAAATAATTTATAGTGGTGGTAACAAAGAAAATCCGCAGATATAAGCGATATCCCTGAGTATAGTTGTTAGGCAAAACTATTTTACAAAAATGGTTATATTACGACTAATTTATTTTATTACACTACTCTTAGTTCGTAAGTCAATATTTTCTTTTCATGTTCCA